GAGAATACTTGGGAAAGTGAAAAAGACCTTGGAGCCTTCAAACCATTAATTGAAGAATATCATGCATTGAGAGCACCGATGACGTCACCAAATCAAATGGGGGAAAATGTCAAGGAGTGCAGCTTCAAGTAGCCCCTGACCTGCACATTGTAAATATTTTATTTCGATTGTAAAATAGATGTGATATTGGAAAATTTTAGTATGATTCCTTGAAATTTAAACGTCTACTCCTATCACTTAGGTGTTTGTTTAAAATGCTATTATAGGGGGTATTAGTCTTTCAAACAATCTTCCAAACTTTCGAGTGTTCGCCCCTACACTAGCCATTGTAATTTCCTGATTTCATCAATTGTAATTTCTAGTTTTCAAGCAATCAATGATCAATTTAGTTTCAATACATTTCAATTTCATGTTGCAAGCTTTCTACAAATTGTAATCAAATTGTCTTGCGTCCCGAAACGATCGAGAGAAGGCAGAAGGTAGTATAGTGGAACAAACTACTGCTGTACGATGTCTCTTTCCGTGTCAAGAAGAAAGGCAACCTGTTAAATGCAGTCAACTTTTCTATCAAATCATCTACTTTCACTACATTTGGTAAAATTCGTTTGGCAAAGTGTTACACTACACAAAGGAATATATATTTAGTATTATTGGTCCTGTTTTCCACTAAAGGTCTCCTCCCCACAGAATACATATCAGCAGAAGGATCAAAAGCCGCGATTTAGGTAAGATTATGTGAAGTATTATTCGCAACAAATCTAAATATTTTAGGTTTTGAAAATTTTTTACTGTTATCCAATGGAAGGTTTCCAGTAACAATCAACTGACCAAAGAAATTTTGTGGGAAATAACGAAACAAACAATATTCATCCCACACTATAACATCATATTTGTTAGGGTTTATGTTGTATTGGCAATTCTTAAAATGATTGTTATAAAATAATATGATTGTTACAAAAAAGTTGTAAAAGTCAATGAGTCTTTTGGAGTTTTGTATAGATGAATTAAGAATATTTGTGTTCAAGCATGGAACAAGGAGAAGAAATTTACCGAATTTCTACTAGTTTGTCTCATAGCTAGTGCTTAAGTGAAAAAAGTAGAATCATTGTTGCCCTCTTGTCGCCCGCTTATCGCTCAAGTAAAGAACCTCTCGCTCACCTGTCGCTAGCCTGATGCTCGAGCGATGGTAAATTTCGAGAAATCCTAATTTGTCTTTTTCAAGAGTTCTACCTATCATATATTACATAAATACCTCTTATTATAAATATCCAATGCCTAGTACATTTTTGTGAGTAGTTGTTCATTATTTTACATCCTCATTACATCAATAAAAGATATAAGAATATATCTAAGTATTGAGATTAAATTTTTGATTCTTGAGATCAATTAATTACAAGTTGGGAAAAATATCGAATTCAAATAATTGAAAACATCCACTTCCTAAATATAATTAGAAATGTATTTTCTCAATAGCTTTCAGAGGTTGCTGAAGATTGAGGAAGTTTAGACCGCAAGCACATAAAGTGTATAAGAACAAGGTATTTTTGGTGACCCACAAGAGATAGACAATTTCAGAAGATTGGGAACGTGTGTAAGTGAAGCACATTCCAGTGGGTCTTGAAGATTGCAAAAATTAGATTAGCAAGTGTAGTGGGATTTCTAGGTTGATCATAATGTAAGTTCTTATTTTTTATAGTGGAAGTTACTGGCTTGGTCTCAAAGTTTTTACTGAGTAAAGAGTTTTCTCCATTATCAAATTTTGTGTTATTTACTACTCTATTTATTATTGTGCTAATTCAATGTAGGAAAAAATTGATTGATTTTTTTTTATTTAAAAAAAAATTGAATTGATTGACTAAACATCTAGAACAATTAAAAAGTGACATTTGCTTTTAATTGGTAAATATAATTTCACGTTATCCACCAATTATGTGATTTTAGGGTCGAATTAGTAACTTTCAAGTGGTATCACAGCCAACTTTGGTTCTTAACCCTAGTTTTTTAGATGAGAAGTTCATTGTCTGTTCCTCCATATTTTGATTTCAGTAACTATGCCTATTGGAAAGTTAGAATGAGTGTTTTCCTGAACTCTATGGATGAATGTATTTGGTTGAACTTAGTAAATGGTTGGACCGCCCCATCTACCATAGTTGTAGGTATAGTTACCCCTACTGATATTTCAACTTTGTCGAAGAAAGATTTATATGAGTGTAATTGAAATAATAAAGGGCTTCATGCTCTATTTATGGCTGTATTACCTGAAAAATTTAAGCGTGTGTCTATGTACGAGTTTACTAAAGAAGTTTGGGATATTTTACAGACTGCAGATGAGGGAACACGGGCAGTTAAGAATTCTAAGTTACAAATGTTGACCACTAGATTTGAAGAGACTATGATGAATGAAGATGAGACATTCGATAACTTCTATGCGAACTTGAATGACATAGTTAATTCTAGCTTGAACCTAGATGAAAGAATTCCTAATCATAAGATTGTTAGAAAAATCCTGATATCCTTACATGAGAGATTTAGGCCTAAAGTTACAGTTATCAAGAAGAACAAGGATCTAGATCCTGTTAAGATTGAAGAATTGGTTGGATATCTCCAAACTTATGAACTCATCATATCTCAGCATAAGAAGAACGAATCTCTAGCATTAAACATAGTTAAGGAAGAACAGTATGTTTATTCTGATTCAAAATCATTTAATGATGAGGAAATAACTTACTTTGTTAAGAATTTTTTTAAAAAAATTATAAATAACAAGAAGACTAAAGAGAGACATAGAGGTTATTCCAGTAAGTCTAGAAAGAGATCTCAATCAGTGAGATGTCAATGTGTCAAGGTTTTGGGCCTAAAGTTACGGTTATCTAGAAGAGCAATGATCTAGATGCTGTTAAGATTGAAGAATTTGTTGGATCTCTCATACTTATGAACTCATCATATCTTAACCTAAGAAGAACAAATTTATAGCCTTGAACACTGTAGGGAAGAAGAATATGATTTTTCTAATTTAGAATCACTTAATGATGATGAAATAACATACTTTGTTAAGAATTTTCAAAAAATATTTAGAAATAAGAAGAATACTAAAGAGAGACACAGAGGTGATTCCAGTTAGTCTAGAAAGAGATCTAAATAAGTGAGATGTCATAAGTGTCAGGTTTTGGCCTCTATAGAAGTGAGTTCCCTGATGGTAAGAGAAATTAGGGTAAAGCTATGAATGCAACTCTTACTGATGACAAGTCTAGTTCAGATAATCAAAGTGAGATGTCCTCTCATGAGGAGAATGGGAAGTTCATGGCTTTCATTGCTAGGATTAAAAGTGAATATGATAATGACAATGAAAGGTTGAGATAGTGGTGAGTAATCTGAGGAAGAGATTCGTGAGGCTTATCATAAATTATTTGAAGAGAGTCTTAAGATTAAGAAGGTGAATAAAATCGTGTTTAAGAAGGTTAATGCACTTGAGCTAGAAAAAGAGAGACTTATGTATGATCTTCAGGAGTCAACCAAAAGCCTTGGTGAGTTAAGATTAGTAAATGAGAACTTAGAGGCCAAGGTTAAAACTCTAACAAGCAACCTTGAGAAATCTAATGCTCAACTCCAGACCTTCTTGAGTCGATCTCAAAAACTGGATAGTCATGTGGGGTTGAAATGTCTGTTGGGAACACGTGACATCCAAGATATAAGCAGACAGGATCATAATAGGGCTAGTACTTCCAAAATCATTTTTATCCCTGCCACCAACCATCCTATGTATGTTCTTGATCTTGAACTCAAGAATAAAGGTATCGTAGGACAAAGGCTTACTAGATAGTGTATGACCTATCAACCTAGGAATAGATATCAGCGACCACATAACTTTGGACCTAGGTTTATACCTGCTTGTTTCAATTGTAGTGAGTTAAGACATATAAGGCCTATATGTCATAGATTCTTGAATAGAAATAGAAATTAGAATTTCAGTAGAGTTAGAAATCAAGATTTTGATGTCCGAATTGACTTCCTCACTAATCAAGTGAGTTATTTGACCAAGTTAATAACACATTTGGCTCGGGAGAAGTCTTCCACTAGACAAGTTTGGGTTGAAAAGAGTGATTTGAAAAATCTAGAAATTGATCACGGTACTTTTAAAGGTAAGAGCATTTGTATACCTAATTGATTATGTGTTTTTGATGTATGCTTATACTTATTAATTATGATTCATTCATTATTGCATGCATGCATTTCATTTTTTTTGTTTTTCCTTTTTAGGTAGTTGGACTTTTTAAATAAAGATAAAAAAAATTGAATCATGGAAAAATAAAAAAAAAGGGGATTTTTTTTCACAGTATAATATATGATTTATTTGAACATGTATGTTGTGACCAAGTATGACTTTAATTGATGTGGTTTAACATATTTTCCATTACATTGTTTAGGTTTATGTGGAGTACTTAGTATAGTTGTCTTCATGTGTCTTTGTACTATACACACTATGATTTTGTGAGTAAATCTTGACCGTGTGTGAGAGATTTTGAATTGCCGTCATTTGTTGGTTAGGGGACCTTCATTTAGTAGACCTAAGCTCTAGTATATCCCATAAATAATTAAAAAAAAATTCATCTTATACTCGTTTTCAAAATCCATTTGACTCGAGGAATTAAACTAAGGGGTTTCTCATTACCTGACGGCCTATGGTCAACTAACTGGGAGTCATCGATCCAAAACTCGTTACATGGGTCATCTTATTCACTTAGTGTAGAAAAACCTGCACATAAAATATAAAAAATTGAAAGAAAAATGATAAGTTGAAAAATAAAAATAAAACTTGTGTGAAAATGTATATAACTCAAAGTTAAGGGGAGAAAATAATAATATACATTTAAAATGAGCTTTATTTATAAGCTAATATGCATTACTGATTTGACTTTCATTTTAGGTGAATAAACTTATTTAACAATGATATTTAGCATGCCATTTCTCACAAATTTAAGATTTAGAGTTTTGATCACAAAAAATTAGTGGCATTTAACACACGAGTCACTTATACAACTTACTCCATTTAGACTTGAGCCGAGTATATGTATAAATTTACTAATAATTGATTATGCTTGTGGATGTTATCAATTGCATCTTCGAGTTATTATATATTGTTTATATAGTTCACTTATTCATTTGTGGCAAAAAGGGGAGAGAAGTTGAGATGGGCATAAGTAAGAAGATATGTGCATGAAGGATCATTCAACATTTTGAATTCTAGGGAAGATGATCATTCAACATTTTGAATACTTAGCTTTTTTGAGTTTTAATGTTTTGTGATATTAATGTTTCAGTTGGAGTTTTGATTAACATTAGTATTATCTCTAGCTCGTCTTTCGTTAGCCTGCTCGAGCGACGATGTTTTCGAAAAAAATCATAATCTGCGTTTTTCATGAGTTCTATGTATCCTATACTTCCTAAATACCCCTTATTATAAATATCCAATGCCTAGTACGATTTTGTTAGTGGTTGTTCATTATTTTACATCCTCATTACATCAATCCAAGAACTAAGAATACATCTAAATATTGAGATTATAATTTTGATTCTTGAGATCAATTAATTACAAGTTGGGAAAAATATCGAATTCAAATAATTCAAAACGTCCACTTCCTAAATATAATCAGAAAATGTACTTTCTCAATAGCTTTCAGAGGTTACTCAAGATTGAGTGAGGTTGGACCTCAAGCACAAGATGAGTATAAGAACAAGGTGTTCTTGGTGATCTACAAGAGATAGACAATTCCAAAATATCGAGAGCAGGTATGAGTGACACGTTCTATTGGGTCTTGGAGATGGCAGAAATTAGATTAGCAAGTCTAGTGGGATTTCTAGGCTTAATCATACTATAAGTTCTTATTATTTATAGTGGAAGTTACTGGTTTGATCCCAGATTTTTTACTGAGTTAAGGATTTTTTTCATTATCAAATTTTGTGTTATTTACTATTCTATTTATTATTGTGGCAATTCAACATATGATAAAATTGACTTAATTGATTAAACATTTAGAATAATTGAAAAGTGACTTGTTACTTTTAATTGGTAAATTTAATTTCGTGTTATTCACTATTTGGTGATTTTAGGATCGAACTAGTAACTTTCAATATTTGTATAAACAAAGCTTTAGAATGTTTTAATGCCATTTGCAAGCATGTTTCACATTTACTGTCCGCATAATCATAGCACAGAAAAAGATTGTACACCTTATATAGATCTGTTCCTGCAGAGGTGGTGTATAATTCAGATACGGTGTAAAGGGGAAATAAGGTTATTGAGATTCACTCGATATGAGCTATTAGTAGGGAAGTTTGCCATATCGCGAAACTTGAAGGGAGGATCTAGATGAGCAACATCATGAATTATAGCAAATAACACAAAGTAAGGCAAGAAGAAAAACATGGTTTTGAAGAATCTTGGTGAAGGGTGATGTGAATATTTTTCAATGTATTTGCAGAATTTGATAACAAGTGTCTTTAGTTATGGGTTTGCTAATCGATGGCTTCAAATTTCTAGGATTGAGGTTGAAAATGAAATCCACGGTCATTGGATTAATATAGATTTTGTAGTTCAAGAAAAGATGAATTTGCAACACAATTTACTTGCTAGTACTGGACAAGGCAATGTAACAAAACTTGACACAACCAGTTAAAAGGATAAATTCAAACAGGTTTAGTAAATTTAGTATTAGAATGTATTAGCCTATTATTCATTATTAATTCTATCTAATACTGTTTGAGCCACTTTATTTTCGCATTTGAAATCAAGACTTGAATTTCCTTGTGCACATGGAAGTGTTGATGGGTTTTAGACTCGGGACTGGGGGAAGAAATAAGTTGAAATGGCCCGTTGACCAGGTCATATTTCATCATTCTTCTTTGACTATTTGAAAAAAGAGAAGAAGATGAAAGTTGAATAATGAGTTAAAGAATAAAGAACCAAAAATACTCTTCAAAAGTCTTGGGTAAACAGTTGACCAAAAAGAAAAAATTCTCTTTCAGTCAAGATCCACAATTGACCATACCACCCACACAGAAAACCACTAACGGCGACCACCACACAAACGACCTAGTTACCAGCGACATTGAAATCAACAAGGTTAGTTTTCTGTGATTATGAAATTAATTTTTCATATATGATTTAGATTAAATTTTGCATTTACTTAGTTTATTGTTAATTATTTAGGTAGATGCTTGAGTGTAGGAGTTAGTTTTGGTGATTTTTAGGGACGGAAATCCTCGAAAATGGTGATCTCCATCATTTGCACTGATATTACCGGAGAGACAACCGTTAACAGTCAGCCCAACTAACTATTAACAATTCGAAACAGGCGGCCGAAACGATTCAACCCAACTATTGCCCTTTTTAGAGGCAATTTGTTTTTTTTAAAAAACTGTTTATTAATTATTCTCTCTTTATGATAATTTAAGTTTTTCAATTTTAAATAATATTTTTATTCTTTAAGTTTTTTGTAATAATTTAAAATTTTTTAATTGTTTTCTTCTTATTATAATTTTTTTTCAATTTAATTTTTTTTAAATATTCATGCTTTAATTTTTATATTTTTATAATTTTCTTTCATTTATTTTTCCTTTTTTATTTTGGTCTTTAATTTTTATTTAATATAATTTTTTATTTCTAAAATTTCTTAATTATTTTATGTTTATCATAATTTTTTTTTCAATTTAAAATACCTTTTAAAATTCTTTCTTTATTTTTAATTATTTTTGAAATTTATTTATTTAATTTTAATTCATTATTTATTTATTTAATTCATTTTAATTTTTGTCTATAATTCTTATTTTTTTCATTTAATTTATTAAATCATTTATTTTTTTATAGCGTCGATATGAAATGAATCTATTTCTTGCTTATAGTAGTCACAATTCGGTTAGCTTAATTTTTTAATATTATACATTATTCTATTATTTCTGGCAGAAAAATTCTAATATTTGAATTTTGTAGGATGGAGTACCATCTCAACATTGAGTTGATACAGATGACAGAAAAATGTACTTGAAACGGTAGCTTCATCAGTTTTACTACCGTATTAGAGTTGCTCAATGATGAGCACAGAGATGTGCTGTGCTAGTCCTTTCTGTGGCCCTTGTATCAGTTGAAAGTGGTGCAGTATTTCGGGCAGATCATTGATAATTACCATGTCGACTGCTTAGGCCAGTCGACGCGATGCACTCCATTTCGACATTAGGGGTAAGGTGGTTAGTTTCTTTATATTTGTGTTTACCTTCATGTTTGGACTCAAGATTACGGGTAATGAAGCGACGAGTGACGGTACTTATAGAAACAATAGGCTGTATGACGCATATTTTCAGAGAAA